AGTACCTGTGGACGACCACCCAGAACTGCCAGGGCACGCTCTGTCTGCTTGGCCAACACCAGTTCCTTGAATTCATTCAGGATAAGCAATTGAGCTCTTTGCTGCAACACCAAGTCCGAAAGCTTGCCAACCTCGCTCGAGTACGCATCGACATCCGCCATTAATCTCTTGTTCTGCTTGATTCGATTGCGACGCCTTTGTGATGCCTGAGCCTGGTTCTTCCGCTTATTTGCTGCGTCGGTTGAACCGGAGTTATCCCATTCGAAGGGAATCCTCTTCGTATTAGCGGGAAGGGCTGGCTTCTCCTCTTCAGAATCCGTGCTCCGAGTCGCAATGGCTGCTTCTATAGATTTTGGGGACTCAGTGGTCCATTGCTGCTGTCCGGCAGTTTCTGGGGGCAGGAGTAGGTCTTTTATCGGTCTACCAAATGTTAGCGGCGGTCAGATATCTTCCAGGTATAAGCTAACAGTGCTCGAGAGATCAAACGCTCAGATGTCATCTTGGAGGGGTCGGATTGCTGCTGAGCGCATGAGATTAGTCGGATCCTACGGAGCAAAAGAGCACTATTTATGTTACAATCTGCAGGACAAACCGCACACCGAGTATAGTTCACAGCCCTCCTTGCAATGCATGGACTGAGCCTCACAAGTACTCCTAGGAAATGAGGAAGCCATGTCGTCATCTCACAATTACTTACTACAGAAAGTCTCCATGCTTTTGTGCCATATACATTTATCCCCACGCCGTAAGAGCCTGCGCAAATAGTAACAAACGTGGGTAACATAATATGTGACCGTGGTATCTAAAGGAGTGATGCTGTTCTTCGCCACAATCATGCCGATGGACAGGAGAGTGTTGTTAGCAAGCCAGAAGACCCTATGCCGCGTAGCTCCTAGGATATACCGGGCAATTCATAGGATAGTGATTCCACTTCTTAAGACACTTCGATATACACGCAACTGTATTTGAGCTCGTGTAGTTGAGGCTTTGGGATTCTTTTCTCCTTCTTGGGAGTAAACATGTTTGGCCTTATTCACCGCTTATATTAGGTACGTGCAGAAATCATGGCCTTGCCATCACTTAAAGTAACTTGGACAAAGTGCATAATCTTTCATCTGAAAGCAAAGAAGGCCAAGATTTGAGCGTCATAAAAGACGAACGGTTGATTCGTTGGGGGCAAATACTATTCAAGTGGTATTTTGATGCAAAGCAAGCAACCCAGCAAAATTGTTAATTTGTCAACTGACTTTGACAGATATAGTCCAACAACCATAGGCTACTAATTTGAGGGGTATCACTTTTCAGTCGCACTGACGTGATAATATGATGTCGCGACCAACAGACCTTCGTGACAAGGGCTAAAGAGGTACATGGAAACCAAGCTTTAGAGCTATAAAATCCATCTTCCCCTAGGTCTCCCACTGTACTTTCCATAATTCGCCAAAATCACACACAATGATGAAACGCAATCGGGACAAACACAGCCGACCGCCCACCGTTTGGATAGATGAATAGACTTTCCACCAAAGCCAACTAGATTCAAAATCAACTGCCACGGCGGATATGAATGCATCGCCGAGTCAGATGAGGAACGCAACAGCAATCGCCCTCGGATCAAAAAAGCCACGGCCCGATCCCCCGGATGCAAGGATTCCACACCTTAACCAGAACCCATGGGATATTTTCGAACCCGTTGCTGCATTGCAAGATCGGTCTCTAGTATTTGCCCGACATAGGGCAAATAGAGGAACGTTGGTTCATATTCAGCAACTGGAACAACAGATGGCTCCCGCTGCAGCCTTACTAGAACTGATGGGACATATTTGCCATCCCAGCTTTCCAAAACTGCTTCAATATTACCACCATGACACATCATTTATGTTGGTGTGGGAGCCAACTGAAGTGTCAGTCGATCACATTCTAGCCTCCAGCTGCTCGATCACCGCTGATGAGATTGTTAGCATTGTCAGACCGGTATGTCAAACAATGCTTTGGGATCATTCCCCACTAATCCAGAAAAGGTACTAGAAGGCATTCAATATCTACGCGAGCTCGGAAGAGCACTCGCTACCTTGGGCCCGGATACGATCCTGCTTACACAGTCTGGTGATGTCAAGATTAGTGAGATACCCCCTGGCCTAGTGGATATCGTTCGATAAGAGACTGACGCTCACTAGGGGGCGCTGAGAGTAGCTGTCAAATCAGTCAATCGGAAATGAATTCCGCTACGATGAAATTATGCGCTCTAGCCGATATCGTCACCAAGTTGATGTTAAAGAATCGGACCTACGAGTGGGAACAGGAGATCCAAAATTTACCTCGGCAGCTGGAAAGTGTCTCCATTGAGGAAATATTGCAGGTAGGTTCATCCCGATGCACATCATGCCATCAGCTAATGTGACAGAATGAGACATTCACCCGAACGTCCAGCGAAGGGGAGTTGAAGTTGTTGGTCAGTATAGCGAACAAGACTGCATGTCACGGTATCAAAACTTACTATGCTCGTTGTTGAGCTACAACGCACTGAATCGGGGCTGGCTCTTTGCGTGGAGGCATCACATGTCGAGAAAAGGACGCGATTCTGTGTTTCCTGCTGGCTGGTTGATGAAAGATACCAAAGAAAAAGGTAGCACACGGTATAGCCGGAAATGGCCTGTTCCGGCATACTGACTTTTGGAATTGTTTCACAGATTCCCATTCAATAATTGTTTTGTTTTCTGTTCCTCATCAGGTATTTAGTTTGTATTCCTAATCGCTGTCATGCTTCGTTCACTAGAATCAGATTTGATGTAGCATGTTCAGTCTATTCGCTTGATTTAATTTTGAACACAATTGACCGGCTATAATCTGTTTACTGCATGGCGGTAAAAGCTCACCGCTCACCAAGCTCATTTACAGGGCTAAGTGTCATGACAAACATAGCAGCTAGGATGTGGCCCTGTAGCGATACAGTGGTATCATATCTACATATGGCGTCCTGGTCATTGACTCGAGAGTGGCCATTTGTACAATTCCCAGTCCATACGGGCTTGTCCTTTTACGGTCAATTTCTGCTGTCGCCGGTAACTTATCAATACTTCCGGGACAAGAAGGCGAATGTCTACATATTCTTTGGCAGCGCTACCATCTACTCTGGCGAGTAACACAGCAGAAAATGCAAGCAACTCTATAGGCGTGTCCTCGGACGACTTTGATGGCGACTCATTCACTTGTAAAGGGCGCGCATTTTACGTACATCTCACAATTGCCGACACGGTTAAATCAAGCCCAGACCAAGGCGCAATTCCGGGCTGAGGTTCGGACAGCTAACGGCCAATGGAGTGGAATACTTCTTTCCTTATCGCCAATGTGCATTTGAAATCGAAGGTTACTTGAACTGTTAAGACCGCTTAGGATTTTTGTCATCACAAAAGTACCGGTCAGCTTAATTCCGTTGTTCTTCCTGCTCATAATGATGCTGCAGAACTTCACGATGCGTAATTTGCCTCGGGCCTGTTTGATTGCATTGTTTAAATGAGCGAAGTGGTGAACCGATAAAAACCATGAAGTTGACAGAAACGAAGTGGAAGACCTCGATCAACTTGGTTGCGATGATTCACCGTTCCTTGCATGGTGTGGCATGAGATCAACGACGAAGCGGATAGAAATGGCTTTCTGCGACAAGAACAAAGCTACTAATCTACTGTTCTTGCCCTACGTTCCCCTAAGAATGCAGAGCTGCTATGCGACCCCATTGATCTTCCAAGTCACTACTACAAAACTCGAAAATCGGATGTCGGTCTGATTTTTCCTCGACTCAACACTGCTCTCGGTAAAAAAGATAACCCCAATTATGGCCACTCAACCAAAACCGAAATCAAACCCAACAGACGCGGTTAATCAAAAAGCGCGCAGGCGAAGAAACACGCTTTTCAAAAAAGTCTCTGAGTACACCACGGAATGCGATGCCGACATTCATCTCATTCTTCGCATGAAGAAATCTGGGAAGATGTATGTTCTGACGTCAAACTCAACAAATTGGCCTCTCTCTGACAACCAGTTAGTAAGTTCCTCTTTATCATCGATGTTGTCGCTATGAAGATTAACTCGATCTTAAGATACCGTATCACCCTACACCAATCCTGAAGGTTCTAGATGGCCCAAAGTCCAAATCGTGAGACTTTGTCATGTTATCAATAAATTTCACCTTCAATTTGAAAGTTCTTCGTCCGGATACCTCGCGGATTCTCACTCGACCATCCTGCAACTATGATTATTCCCAAAAATTTTCTTTTGTTTGATTCTTTCTATTTGCTCTGAGAAACGATTGATCTCCCACGGGTTTCTCTTGTACTATGGCTTCACTTCGGAAAAGGGACTGACTGGGGTACATCCCAAATAAGCACATGTTTCTCCAAGCAACCGCGTTATTGCTCCCTTGGCCAGATTTTGAAGTTCCATGTAGATGTGGTATATCAACGTACGATAGAATTGGTCTATGGATTGCGTGATATGAAAGTTCAGGTTGACGAAAGGACGTGCAATAAGTTCGCCGTCTCACATAATAAAAGCTGTAGCAATCAGTACTCTTTAGTATTTCGCATTTGCTCTCACTTACCATATAAGAATGCTCTTCATTTGGTCTAGTACCCATGCACTAGTGGACAGAATAGCATTACAGGGCCATAGCCGGGCAGCTCGACCAGGTTACATCCGGTCGGCTGAACCGGAAGGCTAATGCCAAATAACAGAAATCAGTGACCAACATTGTATGGGTTTCCTAACGGTAATATTAAACTCTCTCTAACTAAAAACTATGAACTTGACAATTTTGTAGGATATGCTGACAAAGACTAATATGCACTTTCATGTGAGGTGTCAGATTTGATGTCGTAAGATATTCTGGGTAAATACCCAGAAATCCACACGCAGATCCACCATATTTCTGACACACCCCCAGTTTTCGAGGCCCCTTTTCTAGGCCTGGGAAACTGCTCAATTCTTCAATTTATGCATGGTTTTCAAACCAGAATCTGTTTTGAAGGGTGAATCAGGTGATTCACGTCTCTCATTCCGATCAGATCTCGAAAGATCTGCTGCTTCTGTTTGGGTAAGGCCTTGGTGAGGCCATCGGCTGGCATCTCGGCGGTTGGAATCCATGCGACAAGAACTCGGCCTTCACTGACCTCTTGCTTCATCCAGCACCGATTGATATCAACATGACGAAGCTTCGTATGCATTGCGGCACCTTCCTTCGTCAATAGGTCAACAGTTTGTTGGTTGTCGCACAAGATAGTGAGAGGATGGGACGGTTCAAATCCTAATGCGCGGAGGACTCGACGCCACCATTGGACTGTTTTTCCGGCCTCAGCAAGTGCGAGTAGCTCTGCTTCGGTTGTCGATGTTGTAACGGTCTTCTGTTTCGATGCCTTCCAATCTATGGGCCCACCATATAACTTGCAGACATATCCTTCGGAGCTGCGCCGGTCGGGGTTATCGCCGAAAGAAGCATCGCTGGCAAATTCAACCGATTTTGCTGCTAATTCGATACCTGGTTCGAGGCCTCTCACTCCATATTCAATGGCCCAAAACCTGGTTTTGTATAGGTATTGGATGATCCGATCAATAGCGTCGATGTGCTTAGGACCTGGATTCATAAGAAATTCAGCGGCTTTGGCGGTGGCTTTGGCGGCGTCTGGGCGTGAGACGGTTGTAGCATACTGAGCAGATCCAACTTTGGCTTGGTACCCATGGATCTGACTCGGTGTTGCTACTCCATCATATGGGAGCAAAGGCTCAGTGCTCATAGGGGTTTCGACCCTACGGTTGGTTTTGAGGTTATACCGACTTGTCATGCTCTCAATATAGCTATCTTGGCATAGCCATAGCTTCTTCTGAGATCTGTCTCTCAATATGCGGATGTTTAGGAACCAACTGGCATCAAGTTCTCGCAATTCCCATTGCTTCTTCATTTCTTGGTCCAGGGTAGCTGCTTGCTTAGAATAGGAAGGATGATTGACCATGATAATGTCGTCAACATAGAAGAAAACGATTATTCCTTGGGTGGTGAAAATGCATGGATCCTCAGGCACGGGGGTCAGTCCCAATTTGACCAGCACTCTGGTTGCTTCCTGCTGCCACAAACGCGGTGACATACGTAAGCCATAAAGCGCTCGGAGTAACAGCCAGCAGTGGCCTGAGCGTTCGAAACCAGGCGGGCACTTGGTGTATACCTCACCTTGAATGGCTGAGTTGAGGAACGCTGTCACTACATCTCGTTGTATCATGTCGAGGTCAAATGCTGCGACCAGTGCAAATACAGCGCGGGCTGTTTTCACTGCGAGAGTTGCGGCTCTCTTTTCTTCAGTAGTGATCCACTGTAGATCTCCACGCACACAGATCCTCGCTTTGAACTTCTCCAGGACTCCGTCGGCATCATATTTATATGTGAACACCCACTTGAGTGGAAGGACCTGTGTCCCTTTGGTGTTCGGGTGCGACACCTCGCGGAATGTGCCTTTGTTTCGTAGAGTCTCGATCTCAAAGGCTGCGGCCTCGGTGAATTCTTTGGCAAATTTATGGTTCTTCATCTCAGCCCAGTTCTGGGGCTCTATTGGCATCTGATTTCGATGGTGTTTCTTGGTATGGGATGCTTGTTCATGCATACTGATGGTGAAAGCATGAAGCAATTCAGGCGGGTTGTCGGCAGGATCTTCATCGTGAAGAGATAGGTATGCTGAGAAATCTCGGTTGGTTCTTGGCCTGCGAGATCTGCTGCCGCTGGTAATGATGTTGGATTGATCAATGTTTCTTGAGATGTCTCTAGGTGCACGGGCGGGTGCTATCTCATATCCTGGTCTAGGCGCAGTTTGTATGGCAGTTGGATGCGTAGGTTGCGGTGACTGTGCTAATTCTTGCTGAAGTTGCATCTCGCTTTCTGATACTGTCTCCTCCCCTTCAGTTTCGATCGATGGTATGACCGAGATCGGATCTGGTGACGATGACAGGGTATTCGGGAGTCGAGATCTCGATGGTGTTGATCTCTGGATTAATGGATCTTGCGATAGTGAGGTCATTGTTGATGAAGAGATCCTCGGAGGCCTTGGTTCGGTGGGAAAGCTTCCTGGTATGTTGGTATTCGACCATGAGATCTGGTTTGGTCTGATTGATTCAGGCGTCACGGGTAAAATAGAGGCTGTTTTGGGAGATAGTGGTAACGTGGGTTTTCCGGCTTCCTCTCCTTGTTTGGTATGCTCTGCTTCTTCTCCCGCCGAGTTCCTTGCTAATACCATTGGCATTCTTAGCTCTATACTGATCTCTGTTTCGGCTTCTTGCAATGTGAGCACCTCAGGCCAGTTATCGAGGCCATCTGTCAATGTGCTGACTGCTTCTTCATGCTCAGGTACCGGTGTACTCGGAGAGTATCGGCGGGTCTCATCAAAAATAGCATCTCTGACTATGTCAACCCGGCCTTTGCCAGCACGGCCTTTGTGCGGGAACCAGATCTTGTATAGGTTCTTAGAAACATATCCAACAAGAAATCCGATCTCTGCTCTCGGTGCCATCTTGTCAGATTGAACCCTTTTGATGATCCTAGAGTACGCTAAACAGCCATACAATCTCAGGTTTGACAGGTTGACGATCTGATCGCGCACGCCGTCGGGTGCGGTATGCCTCATGAGTTCTTTCCATGGTACAATCCACCGATTTTCGATCTTGGTGGGCACCCGATTCAGCATGTATGCTGCGGCATAGATCGCTTCTGGCCATAGGGTTCGGGGGAGATCTGTGTCGTTCATCAAGGCTCTGGCGGTTCTCACTATGACCCCCCCAGATCTCTCCGCGGGACCATTCATCTCGGGTAGGCCAGGTGGTGCATGCTCAATTATACAACCTTCATTTTCGATCATCATCTCGACCTCATCTCCCGCACTTCGCTCATTATCATAGTGAAACACCTTGATATTGATGTTTAACCAATTCTTTGCGATGGCAATAAACTTCCTAACAGCCATCTGACATTCGTTCTTCTTGGTATGGGTGAACACGAAGTGGCATTTGATTCCATCCAGGTAAAAGTGGGTTAACCAGATATGACCATTGTGCGCAGGCTGATTTTGAACAAGGTCAAAGTGCACTCTGCCGAATACACCATATGCCTGACCGATCTTCCGCCGAGAGATCTGCTTCGTTGCGTCTGCTAACTGACAAGCTTCACATACCTGTTTGACAGGGTTGCTCTCAGTAATGGTGACTCCCTCGGTCATCTCCGACAGTTTGGTAATGCGGTCTGGTCCTATGTGACCTAGGCGCCGGTGCCAGGTCTCCATTGATGCAGCTGATTTAGGTTCTTGCGCCGATCGTTTAGTGGTAAAAACCATTTCTCCGGGCGGTGCTTGGGCCTCGATCAATGCCATGGTGGCGGCGTCGGGCTGCGTCAACCAAGAAAGCTTCTGTTCTTGGTATATCTTTAGCAGCGGCTTGCCATTATCAGTTTCAATCCAGTTGTTTCGGAAGCACATAAAGGCCCCCCTTTAATGATCAAGCCATGAGAGATCAGATTGGTATGGAAATTAGGTGAGTACCTGGTTTCATACAACTCTAGTCGTTTTGGTTGGCCAGTAGTTGGATTGATCCCATAGATAACGACGGTGCCAACACCATCGATTCTTGTGCGTGTATCGCCGACCTTGATGTTGCCATGACTTTCTCGGAAACTAACGAATTTGCTCCGATCGTTGCATACATGTGTATCCGCCCCAGTGTCAACAACCCATTGCTTCTCCATAGGTATGGTCGCTTGCTTGGTTTGGGTTGACATGGCGGCTTGCTCGGCTTTCTGTGCGACTTCTTGGGAAGGTACCTTTGAGAAGAAGCCACATGCTTGGTCGTCAATTATGGTAGAGTGCGCCTGTTTCTGCGTCATGCCCATTTCTGACCTTTTCTTCTCAATAAAGTCTTTCCATGTAGGATCAGCCTTCATAGCTCTATCCCACTTCTGTTTCTGGTCTGGGATGATCTTGTAACCCTCGGGTCTGCCTGATTCATAGGCAGCCCAGCATTTCCAGGCAGGGTGGCGGGCCTTCGATCCGCATGGGCATGGCCTTTGCCAAAATGGCTTTTCGGTGGCTGGTATAGCCGCCCCTTTCTTGATGTTTGGTGGTTGTGCTTCCTCATGGCCTTGCCAGGTCGAAAATACAGCTTTGGAGATACCTCTCTGGGTACTGGCTTTGCCGTGGCTGATTGCCCAATGGGCTTTGTACCTAGTGAGCAGCTCGGGGAAGACAACATTCTTGTCTTCCAATCTGAGCGTCCAGGTTTCATGAAAGCCAGGCGACATAGTTGAGATGGCATCTAGGAATTGCACGGTGGCGTCATTGGCTTCGCTCATGCCAGCCCTCGCGCACCGAACCTGGATCGTTTCCCAATTCAATAACCATTTCTCAATGTCGGTGTTCCTGTCTAGACCTCGGTCTAAATTTCTCCATTGCTGACGCAGTTTGGCTGCATAGGTAGGATCGCACTCAGGTGCAAATCTCTGTCGCAGGTTGCGAAGCAGTTTCCATGGGGTATCATGGGTGATAAAGGTCTGATAACTAGGGTGTAGGCTGTTTTTAATAACCGTTGCCACACAGTTGAGGCCTAGGATCCTTTTTCCATGCTTGCTAACTTGGGTTGACCATTCCACTTGTTGTAGTTTGACGATCTTGTACCAGTTGACCGGATCGTCGTTCTTAGCAGCCTCAATTGATGGAGGCTCTGGTTCATCTGGAACAACAGGTTGTTCTTTCTTGTCCGGGTCACACAGCTCCCACACGTTATATTGGTCGGCAATCCCTCTGATGGTGGACAGCCAGGCTTCCCAGTTTGTTGAGTCTCTCAGAATAACGCGAGAGGACGATATCGCGGAGAGAGTGGTGTCTCCCATATTGTGGTTGAACAGATTTCCGATTGATGATTTCAGGGGTTCAGGGGTTCGGCGGCAGGCAGGGATCACAAGGATCAATTGGCTTGCAACGTCGAAACAAAGGTTGGTTTTAACAAATGGGTTAAATTAGAAGCGATTCCGGGCTCATAACTAACAGAAATCAGTGACCAACATTGTATGGGTTTCCTAACGGTAATATTAAACTCTCTCTAACTAAAAACTATGAACTTGACAATTTTGTAGGATATGCTGACAAAGACTAATATGCACTTTCATGTGAGGTGTCAGATTTGATGTCGTAAGATATTCTGGGTAAATACCCAGAAATCCACACGCAGATCCACCATATTTCTGACACCAAACACCGTTTGGCGCCAAAATTGGGTGTGAAAGAACAATTACTGTTTCAAATTTCCTGTCTCATCTTTCTCGCACTCTTGTATATCGCTTTTTTATTTCAGCCCATTCTGCATGTCTCTCACTGGGCCTATCGCTCCGACATGTCGATATCGACCACATTCACTTAGCAAGCGCAGAGTCGCATTGCCTCCATAAAGATTCACCAGTTACATCGTCTGGAAAGACTTTAAATCAAGCGTCACAGCCGAGCTGTCGCTAGCTAGCTAGCACGGTTATTCCTAATCATCCACGTCCACCACCAGCCCGCAGCACGCTGCTCAGTCCTTAGCAAGTTCCACGAGACCCAGCCCGCATCCTTGGCAGGATGCTTAGACATCGAATTTGGGCGAGAATTCAGATAGACGTAGTTCCAGTGCCGGCAGAGATTCCGATGATTCAGTCGTACTGGTACTTGAATGGCTCTCAGGGAATGTTTCTGAGTACGAACTGTCTTTGGAGGGAACGATCCTCTTGCCGGACAAATAGCTCTTCGCCCCGTGGTACCTATCGACCAAGTTTGGCAATTTGAAACGACGCTGTATCTTTTCATACGTCGACGCAGATTGCATTGTCCTCTCTGGTTCCGCAGATGACCGTGGAAGGTTTCGATCAAAGTGATTCAGATCACATGATCGGCGCTGCTCCCCGGATCCACTCTGGCAGGTGCAGGGGACGGCCACCGAGCAGAGACGGTTGAGCACAGAAAACTCCAACTTCAGCTTGACGCTGTACACCACCGTCTTGAAGCTCACTTGAATGTAGTGTAGTTTGTATTCCGCCACCAGGAGGAGAATATTCACGAATACCACGATGATATTGATGCAAATTAGATGGATGATGGCGTTGCGGCTCTCGCGACCTCGGAACGCGCTGATAAGTCTGAAAGCACGAACTGCTTCGTATATGTAAATGCCGCAAATAACGAAATCTTGGATGCAGAAGCCCGTCAATTGGATTCGGTCGAATATCGCGGCAGGTTGAGCAAAGCGTGCGTTGCCGTTGTTGAGGCCAAAGAATAAGACGGTCATTGGAATATGTAGGATGCAAAAGTTCGTGAGTATCATCCACAAGACCCAACGCACCTTTCTCACATCGGCGAAAACGAGATGCAGGCGCGAGTAGAGGACGAGGGCTTGGCCGGTAACCATAGCGTACCATCCAACTATGAAGGGAATGGATGTCGCGAGATTGGATGACTGAGACAAGAATCGTGCCATGGCAGGAATGGCGTGCACAAGGATGCCCCAGGATGCGAATTGCATGCTCCAGAAATATAGGCTGCGGTAGTGTTTGAACGTATCAAATGTGACGATCCCCGTCTCAACGGCATTGTACGCGCCGATCGAGAACATGGATACAATTTGAATGATGGATATATTATCCATAAGAATGGCGCTCACATTGGGGGGAGGCTGGTGATGACTGTATCCATGGTCTGATATGATTGTCACGAGTACTAAGATGTCTCTTTTGTTTGAATTGATGGATGGGATCAGTAGCGGGTTTTAAGGGTTATTCCATTGAACCAGGATGTAAGCGTGCTCATATTGAAATATGAAATCATGACACAATAGCTATCTAAGTTCCAAAGTTCTTAGAACACTTGTCAACTAGGATTCTAGCCTTGGGTGCGTTGGGTGGGTCGCAACAGAGTTAACTATACCGTAGAGCTACAAAGCATATGATTGTACCTCAATCCCAGCCCAGTCATGTTGGTGGGAGGGCTTTTTTTCCAGTCTACTAATGGCATGCTATCACTTAACTGGAACAAAGGTTCCTTTCCATCCAAGTCATATCAATGGTTACTATCATAACAACCGTGGAACGCAGAGCAGGATCCACGGTCGGTGGCCAAATGTCAAACTATCTTGACAAATTATTTTTTTATGGATCACGGAACCGCGTGTTTGGTGGAAGACGGCGATGATTCATGGCAATTAGGTTTTAAGCTCCGATCTAGATCTCCCGTCCGCTTCTCCACTTACTTTTAGGTCTATCATGCTTACGGCTGCCGCTACAGTGTAACTGATTTACTGGAGGAAATGGACCGCACCCATCACGATTTCGGCTTTTGACATAGAGTATGTGATGAAATGGCTACGATGGTGTTTATGAACATTATTGGTCGCGCGGTCCTGAGTATTAACAATGTTGGGGAAAGATGCTAAGAAAATATTTCCGGTTCATAGAAGTTCAGGTGCTCCACGCTGACTCCTTTCACTTCCAAAGGCCAATCGGTTTCTCGGCTTTTAGTACAAAAACCGGACTAGGGAGGAAATATCGGAAAAGGAGATAGTATGCTTATCTGCAAATGGCTGATGCAGAGTGAAATACACAGCTTCTAGAACGTTCTACAGCCCAGAGAGATGAAGAAGCAGAAGTGACGGAAGACCGAAGGGTTCTAGAAACACATGACCACGCATCTTGTTGGCATATCACTCTGTTCTAGAAAGACTACATGATGTGCAATTACCTCGCCTGCCCAGAAGTTACATCCTAAGCAACAAAGGCATTCCACCTGCACGACAATGGCCCACCAAGACTAGGCTTGTAGATTGTGTCTGGAATTTTGCAAGCCCTTCCAATTTCTTCTGAGTGCCACAATAGAACCTCCTTGATCTACTGTCCCATGGGTCATCACTGGGATTTTCACTGCAGAACTGTACCAGCCTCCGTCCATATTCATGCTCGTGATTTGATTGGTCCAGCTGGTGCTATTTGTGTCCAGGGTCCCATCAGGAGTGTGATAATAGCGTTGCAATCTCGTGAGCGGGGTGGCGATCGACAAGGGACCAAATCGGGAGCCATGGTAGCTGAAATGGCTCATATTGTTGTCCTGGAAACCAGGCCTTGATTCTGGCGACAGTGGAACTGCTTAGAATTTAGGTCCTGTCTCCGCTATAACTGCATTCATTAATGAGGACCGTGACAGGGAGGATTGCTGTTATTAACAGGATGGCGCCGATCATGTAGAGTTGGGCAAGAGATATTGAGTACATTATATCTAAGCGCAAAGAGTCCTCCTTGGGTGAAAGAGCGACGGGGATAATTCAAATGTAGCGTGTCGTGAGACACCACTGATTGCACGGACTTAGTGCGGGCCGGCCGATCACTTCTTCCACAGTGGACCGGCAAGCCTTTTTTCTTTTGATTCTTTTTTCTACTTCGTGCTAACACCCCGTGGGGTCCGGTGTGCCGAATTTGCTCGAGCTTCTCTGCTCATGGACCACATGCTAGCAAAAAAGACTTGGCAAGGGAACAGGGTTTCCACCTCGTTTCAGGTCTTTTCCTATGGTCTCCACCTAGCCCTTTAAAGTCTCTGTTACCCAGGAGGCTACTGCGGTTCATCGTACTCATCAGTTTACCCGCAATCCACTGGAACCAACAACAATCTCTCGACCGGAAAGGTTCAGTATGGCAAATGCACCCAAGCCCTCTCGGAGTGCGGGATGTGGTGCTACCAAAGCAAAGTCTCGTACTAGCAGATCGCGTGCTGGTTCGCCTGGTTCTGTTCGGTCGACAGTCTCTACGTCCAAGGCGGACCGCAATCCTCAGAGCCCTGTAGCGAAGCTACACAAAGACCTGGTATGTCATTCCCTATTTTGTCTTCAGTTATTCGTATCTTTCTGTACCGACAGACATTATGCGGTCTCCTTGGATAATGTACTCTTGGCTGACGAGCGTTTCCAGGGACATTCTCTGACGAAAACCGCCCGGAGGCAAGAGCATGAGGCGACACATCGACAATGTTTGGATGTGATGGACCAGATTCAAGAAGAGTTTGAACTAGCTCTTGGGAAAATGGACCATGAAATATCCCTTCAATCTCAGTCGATGCAGCGTCTACAAGCGGAAAAGGCCGAAGAGTCTTCGAAACTGCAGCAAGCTCTCGCAGCAAAAGACAAAGCCTTGGAGGAAAACCAGAGGCTTGAAAGAGAACTCTGCCATATCAAGCAGCAGCATGAGTCACTTGACGCCGCCACGCAGGATCAGATCTCAAGGAACGATATTCAGCCGGCCTTGCATCAGACGCACTGTGAGCTGGTGTCGGCGACCACTCGGCTCTGGAACACGATTGATGCCCTTCAGAATCGTAGACCGACATCCTGCCTTCCCGGCTCTGAAGTAATTTACGGAGCTTGGCCTGACCAGGACGGTCTTTATGGGAATTTGGGTCAGAATGTCCTACCCGGGTTCTCCGCATCGAGTAACTATTACCCGCCTGTTACTCAGCCGGCGGCAACCCCAGCCAACCAGTATGAATCACTTGTGTGAAGCATGACAGATTCAGAGCTAGGAACAGCTTTGGCTGTGGCGGCACCGCAATTCGATATAACCATCACACAGATAGATAGCTCAAGGCATAATGATAGCGACACCACCGCCGTCCCAGGATAACAGTAAGAATAACAGTAAAATCTGAACCAGATATATGCATTGGTTTATCTTCCGCTATAGTAGAAAGAACTTCACGTAAAAATATACTCGGACGATCGGACTTTTGCTCTGCCAATTGGACGGCAAAGGGAATGCTCCATGGCCGCTGAATATGGGGGGCCCACAGTCCAGGTGGGCCATGATCGCCCGGTGTGACTTGATCG